TTCTGTAAAAAGATTTTTTCACCTTTCCGACATATTAGGATTCATTAATTTTTAAAATAAAAGATTGCAGAATACTTCACTGCCAAAAATAAATAAAATTAATTTACAAAATCCAGTAAAATACAAATATACGTATACAGATAGTAAAGACCTTAAAACTTGTCCATCGCTATACACCTATGTTATGACTATCTTAAGATCGAATAAAATAATTCGAAGTGGTCTGTATTCTGTCGAAACTGCCAGACGCGGATCGCGATTTCGTACTTTTTGGATCTCATCAGCGCAACAACACAGACCAGCTTTTACATGCTGTCTTAAGGTCGTTAATTCTAAAACTGCTTGGACCCGCATCTTAACTCTTTTCTATCCTGAGTTAATCTTCACATTTCCTTAACACTTTAGAACATCCCATATCCTTAACTATTTGTGAACAGTAATCTAATCTAAGTGTATCTCTACTCCTCTTAACTCCTGTTTCTCTTAACTGCTGTTTCTGCTTATTTTATATGTCTCTAACTAGTCCTTCAGCTTGAGAAGGACTCTGTTAGGTGCTTCCAATCACAAGACTCGCGCCAAAAATTGGGACACCCTGTATACTATAACTAAAATATTTAGCTTTTATAGTTATTACATATTTGGTGGAGGAGCCAGACATCAGGTTTGATTTTATTTACCTCATGAACATAAACGATGTTTACGAGATGCTCTGACATCTTTTGTCTCCTCTTGTTTTGCTTCTAAATACTTGTTATCTGGAAAGTAAGCATCATTTATTGAGAGGGTGTGCCTCCTCATCCGTTAAACAGTGGGAAGTGCCAATAATGTATGCGCACTAAAAATGTAAATATATTGGAACAAGAAGGGTGAAAGGTTCTCGGAGATCCATGGCACTTAATCTTGGGAGCGTGAAGTAGAAGCGGAACTGTCATAAACAACATTGCTAATTACCAGCTCAGGAGGGTAAAGAGAGAGGGTTAAGAGGGCGCGGTTGTTGGCGCCCATGAGTGCAAAGACGCGATGGCAGAAAAGCTGAAGACCACTAGATGTACAGTGACGGCGCCACAGGGTCTAAATCTCCTATTAATCATTCTTTTAGTAAAAGCATTTCGACATTTCGTAAAACTGAATAACAAATCTACCTCCTACTCAATACAAGTTCACCTAACTCTACGTCATAGATGTTTTACCTGATCGTCTTTTTTTTAAACTGATTACTACATATGCCTATAATTTGGTGGCGATTTTTTATCGATCATTTTTATACAACAGAGGATTTTGTAGAACATCATCATTTTTTCTATCCTTCGGGAAGAGTATTTTTTCTGGATAAAAGGTACCCTATATCTTTTTCTGTATCCTTGACAATGTATGTACAAAATTTAATTATGATCGGTTAATTATTTAAGGCGTGAAAACGTAACAAACAAAGAATTGAACATTCACGCATTCGAATTAATAATATTGCTTAGGATTAAGTCCTAATAACTTTGCATGACTGTACAAATGATGCAGTGTAAATTACAAATAACAAAAGCACAATCAAACAGAACGAAAAGCGCAAGATAGTTAAAGCACATCCCCCATAAAGGAGAAAACGTAACCATGAATGGGAGAATTGGATTATTAAGTAAAATAGAAGTATGATAATTAGGGGTAAAGCACGGATACTTTTTCTGTGGTTGTTTTTTGCTGTTCCTTATGTGTATTCATATTGGATTTTGGTGGCTTGTTTCGTAGTTGCGGTCAAATTCATCAGGGGTTGTAATGTGGGCACTTTTTTTTTGCAAGGAACGATTCAAGTCCGACGTCGCCACTGTGGAGTGAGCAAGCAGATGAACTACCGTGAGCACCTACTATCCTTCTCTTGAAATCTAAGCACTAGCGCAGCGCCTCTAACTAAATTAAACCACGCTCTGGTGCTAAATCTCTCCAGTTTCAATTATGCATACGTAAGGAATTTATTGTCATGGCTCGCTTGGCGATCTGTTCGTTGTTTTTACGTTCTTTCGAAACTTTCAAACGATTATCCTGATACAACGAACTTAATCAACTAATAATAGTGTAGTTACAATGACTATTTATTACATCATCCGGATTTGTTTCCATTGTATAATAACAGTAATACTTTGATCTTTTCGCCAAGAATTTCCATCATATATCTTTTGTTAATAAACTGAACGAATATTATATAAGATACATTGACATTTACAATATTAAATTCTATTTAGTTTAAGGGATACGTAGTATTTTAATATCCGTATGTATGTTTCTATAGTTTCTTTGTTGCGCCCATATATGTGTAAGAAGAAGTTTAATATTAACTATTGTTATCTGAGATCTACAAAATTCGTGTAGAGCTCAAGCCATTGTACAACACATTCTTCAAGAAAATAATCGAAATGCCGTCGATAGAGGAATTCACGATCACATATTCAAAGAGAGAAATATTTTTTTTAGTTTCAAAATTATTTCGGTGTCAATAAATTTTGTTTATAGTTAAATTTAATACATGGTTAAAATCGTATAATTTGCGAGAACAAGACACACTCGAGATAAAAATAAAAATGCGAGACTCGAGTCTCCGTCTCTCATCGAGTCTCTCTGGTGTCGCTGAGAGAGGCTGTCGAGAGACTCTCAAAAAAAATTGTTTAGCGTCTCTGAACGAGAGACTCGAGTCGCTCGTAGAGAGATTCTCATTTCGTATCCAATCCCTGAACGAGAGACTCAAATCTCTGAACGAGAGACTGGAATCTCTCGTTAAGTGGTGAAAATTTTCTAAGTTCAACATATTTCAGAGATCCCAGTCTTTCTACGAGAAACTCGAGTCTCTCAATTTTTCAGTTTTATTTATGAATTCTTTCTGTGAAAGACTCGAATCTCTGAATTAACAATTTTATCGTTCGAGTCTCTCATACAGAGACTGTGAGAGATCCATAAAAACACATAGGCAATAACCGAGAGACTGTGAAAGACTGTTGAGAGACGCTCTCAGAGACGCTGAAGGACTGTGAAAGATTCTGAGAGACTGAAAATTTTTGTCTAGGGTAATAGCACAAAGAAATAATAAAATTGTTCCTATTCTTGCTGTAATGTTAGATTCTTGATTCCTTTCTCTTCCGATTAATCTCTTTCTTTTGGCGATTTTGTTGAAACTATATAAGAGATCATTGCCTTTTTCGTCGTAATTAAAATTGTTGGAGTTTTCTGAATTCTTTTGAGCAATGCTCACGTTCAACATGCATGCCACTGACGGTGTTTGACTTCTCAACTGCATTGAACTTTTTCCCAAACCGTTATCAGATTTCTTAACATCTTTACCCGTCGGCAGCCACACGATTTAAATTGAAAAGGAACTTTACATAAAAGTTGCTGTTTTACACTGCGGAAAATAACTTTTATAGAATTTAATTTCGTTACTGAGAAATGAGAAATCCCTTACAGCTTTGCAGAAATCTAATCATCGGCTTGAGCAAAAGCATAAAATTTTTAATCTTATTGAAATGTTTTACGGTAAATGAATTTTTAATTAACTAAACAAAGAAGTGATAGAATTTCAGAGATAATTAGCTCGTATTATTTAACGGAAATGTTTTTAAAATAGTACCGCGTAAACAGATATCTTCAACTTAGCAAAGACGTAGTCGATTTTCTGGGTTTCAGGTTATTACAACTGGTCTTTTCTAGATATTATTTTCAATCAATCGCGTTAGAGAAGAAAATGACCATCAGCTAGCGTTCTGCTACATTGTAATTAACTTGTATTTATTTAATATCAGCAATCATGTGAACAATGTTTGAACCAGTAAATCGACAATTTATCGCGCAAGTGATCAGGTGAAGCATCTAATAGCGATGAATATGATTTAATGAAATATTATAATCGATTAATCGATTAGTTGGGCATAAATATTAGCTCTACTTTGATTTTGATATTAAACGTATCATAATAAGGGATCTATAATTACATGACTCTATTTTTAATGTTGAATTTATTGTTACCGTTGCCGTATTACATTCAAGGCTTATACTACGATCAACTATTTATAAAGTAACAGAAATCGTAATTATATTAGGTAATATGTACGTTGTAAGATGAAAAATTAAAAGTCGTTGATTTTTGATTTTTTGGAAGTCAGATAACTCAGGATGGAACAAACTGTGGAAGAAACAAGGGAGAAAGTATATTTTAGAAAAATAAAAGCACTTCTATATGTTTTAATAAAGTCAACGAGGAAAAGGAGAGATAAGATGATAGGACGTTTTTTAAAACATGAAGGGTCACTTAGAGACATATATAGAAGCAGGAACAGGAGTAGATAGGGGCAAATTAGATTACTGTTTGCAGATAGGGATATGGGGTGATTTGTTTTTTAGGAACTGCAAGGATTGGCTTAGGAACTATCCAAGAAATAAGTCAAGGAATAGATAGAGGTGCATGACCAATCATTTTCTGGACTTACGATCCTAGAGTGATGATGTCAACAGGTGTTGAGAAAGAAAAAAAGACAACAATGTTGGGAGACGTTTCATAATTTGGTTTCATTCAAACACTAAAAGTTTCATTTATAATATTCTGATTTTCTTGATAGTCTATACTATGTAAATTCGATTGAAACAATTTATGTATGGATGTAAGGAGTTCATAACTATATGCTTTAAGTTTTCAAACAGTTGAATTTGCCATTGATCGAAATTGCCGCGTTCTCTAAAAAAATCACCTCAAACTTTTAAATTTATCGTTTTGTCGTTGTGCCAATAAGGAATTGATAAATTGATGTAGTTGCATAGGTGGAACATTTTGTAGCATTTTTAGAAATTTGGGCGTGTAAGCGCGATGTGTAGGAATATATTCAGCAAGAATTGTCTAAGAATTGTTTTCCCGCAAGGAGAGGGGAGTAGCAAAAAGGGGACGCTTAAACGCAAGCGTCGGGGCGCCTAGCAGCCAAGGACCAGTCGGAAACGTCGGCGCGTTGTTCGACAGTAGCTGTGGGATGTTTGCTTTAACCCGTATGAAGGTATATAAACTCGTGCATTTCTCACATTTCTCACATTTCGTACCCTGACCTCTCCGATAAAACATACCAAAGTAGAAGCTGGTCACCAATGAACTAAGTTTTGGTTTAATAGTAGAGTGTGAAGTACTGTGAGATAACTGGAATTCCAAATATTACCAGTTGAATTAGTTGATTGGTTCCTCAAGTTTTTCAAAGTTTCCATAGTCAACTTCTGAATTTCAAGAATTGTGTAAAGCAGTTACTATGGGGCACCATATAGTCTTTTGGTGTATTCTGACATTAGTTGCGCTCTTCAGACCTTCAGGTATCTACTCGAAAAAGTGTATTTAAGTGTTGTAAATGTGTTGTGTGTAAAAAGTTTTTTGCTGTTAATTGTTTTAGAAATCATTTATTTACAAATTTGAAAAAAATACATACGTATTTTTCGTGGAAATGTTTTGAATCTTTCTGATCAATTTCAGATCAAATAGGAAAAATTCTGTTTGAATTGCAATGTATTTTCTCATTTCCATATTAACTTTCAAACTTCGTACAAGTTTTAAAAGAAACAGCGTAAAGTAACAAGTAATATTTGGAAAAAAGTTAGATGTGTCTGTGTTAATTGTTTTTGTGTAACAAAATTATTTTCATTAACGTCTTTGTGAGATTAGGTCTACAATCAAGAGCCATTATTAAAGTTTGTACTATCAACTGAGAAACATTCAAGACCCTTGTTCATCGCAAAAGCCAATTAATTACACAAAAATTATAAGGAAATGGAGAACGAAAATGTTTTAAAATATAAAATTTTCCTTTTAAGGAAAAAGGCGTAATAATCACAATATTCACACGTTCAGCTGAAGGTATTAATTTGGATGCAGGAATTTAGCTTATGGCTACTTAATGCTATCATAATTTTTGTTGCCTATAATACGCATTAAAAAAGTCGTTTCGCAATTTCAAAAAAAAAAAATTATAACATCGCTTAACGGAAAAGAAGATCTTTTTCAAGCAAAATACTCCAATAGAATTAATTAATTCATTAAGTAGCTATGCTAAATTTTGATAGGTTTAAAGATAAAAAAGAAAAATTACTTTGTAGCAATTAAGTTACATGAAAATGAAAGAAAATTAAGATTAAAGTTAAAAAAATTCTCAAATTAACTTATTTAATATACTGTGGGCTTTTTCGCTTAATTATTTTGTTTATACAAAGTTTGAAATTAAAAAAATACTATTAACGTAATTTCTAATTTAGAATAGCAGAATTATTTTTAGTAATGCATGAAAACTACAAATTTCGTATAAGTACCTAAAATGGTATGTATAGGGTGAAACATTTCTAAATATAGGTAGTAAATCAAAATAATTTGACTGAAAGATATATCTTCCAGTTCAAAGAAAGAACGAAGGCCCTTTAGACTGACATGCTGTTTTCCCTTTTGATACCATGCGATTTCAAGCAGTTTTACTTTTATTCCTTCTCCATTATTCTTAGAAAGATGTTTTCATCTGAAAATATGATATATCTCTTTCGACTTGTTTATTTATCTTAATAATCGCCAGAACAATGCGTTGAGCTTTCTGATGCTTCTTGATAGTACATCTTTCTGAGGTTCTTCGCAGGTGGCAAAGGGTTGTTCACCCAAATATGTTTTCAATTATCGGGTGAAGTGGTGAAAATCACTCGGTAGAAAATGTCCCACCTATATTATTTGAGAAGGTCGCCATGTCACGGATGAAAACAACTACAGTATAGTTCAGACCTCACAGACTGATTTTTGTCACTTTGGACAATTTTTGATGGGGTGCTTGTGTGTCAATAACGTTAAAATGTTTTTCTAAATTAAACAACGGAGTAGGAAATTACTCTTACTCTAACATATCTTTTAATGGGTTATTACTTAAAATAGAACTATAGATATGTAACACATTTCAAAATGGAAAAAATATGTACGTTTGCCTTTAAGGGATGAAATTTAAAAGGATATCTCACCTGTGTGCCTACATATACATACATGAAATTAAATGATGCTCGTGTTAGCCTGTCTATCTAAATGCAGGAAAAATAATTACAATTCAGAGCGATTTGTTATGAGTACGTTTAACTCTATAACGCTATTAATGTAGAGTTCTTAATTACGTACGTATACATATGTGTATATTTATATAAAAAGCGTGGATAAAACAGGATTTGAATTCACTTCAACAAATGCGCTTATACACCATTTATTACCAACATATGCACAATTAGAAACGGCTCATTTTACGAAACAACAGTATTTAATTATTTGCGGAATTGAAAATTGGTTTGAAAAAGGGAATAAGTTGTTTATATTTAAATTGCCAATTAAGAGGAAATTGAAAATGAAAAGCAAATTTAATTAACGTTGTTTTATGAGAACCATTCGAAATGCATATTTGTAAAATATTTATCAATCGAAAATAGAAATAATATTATCAATATACATTATAATACAATAAACATACATGCATATTTCACACCAGAGTCCGGAAAGTGATGCCCCAAGATAATTTAAGCTTAAAATGCAAATAACATAAAATTCGAAAATAAAAATGTGAGAACCGCTTATATATCTATAGTCTACACAGTTAGCTTTTCTTTTGTAATCAAACCTGTTGGTTTCTTGCATTGTTGCTTTTAATTCTCCGATACTTCTTGTAATTGATTTCGCGTGTTTCGACGTTTTTGTTTAGGTTCTTTGTATCTGACATTTTTCCTCCTTCTTCGCCTTTAGTCTGAAAGTTGAATCGAAGCATTAGTAATGATGCAAGATTAAAACGGTATAAGAAATGCCCGAGCTATTGCACTGTGCTTTCGCGATAATGTCAACGCAATGATGAATTACGAAGGAGGATTTATTTTGTGTCCTCGATCTTCAACCATAACACCAATAGATGGACAAATTTTGGAAATCAGATTAACTCTTTAAATAGAAAAGTATTTAACTGGTATTTTTTCAGATGTTCATTTTTCGTTTTTCCTAATTGGTAGTTAGTTAGATAGGTAGGTCTTGGTGGTAGTTCATGCATAAAGTCATTATGGTAGTGGTGGGTGGATGTGTATGGATGATGTGGGCGACTGAAGTACCCATGACGATGAGTTTGATGCCCATTGAACATTTAAAGAATTCTAGAATGTTTTCCGAGAGTGATATTAATTCATAGATTTTGGGTATTAACTCTTAGTAAAGAATTATTCAAATATTATAAGGGTACGTTTAGAGGGAAAGGGGGGGGGGGCAGTCGAACAAATGCCCAGAGCGGTAAAACTTTACGGAAAGAAAACTCATGAAAATTACAGTAACACAAACTTATTTTCAACATGCAATAATTTAAAATCATTATTAAAAATATGAGATTTTCGTGTTTGCCTTTATTTAAATGTGAAGTTACAAGAATTAACAGCTTCTTCGGTTCAAATGGATGAGAAATATTTCTTGCTTGGAGGTGCGGCTTTGTTTTTTTGGTTTAAGTTAGGGTGAAGGGTTCCAAATTTACTAAAAACATTTGTAATAATTACTTGAAGTAGTTTATTATTTTTTTGTTTATGTTTATGTGAAATGGATGGTAGGTTAATTTCTGCGAAAGTTATTGCTTGACATCCATGTTGCATCTAATTTACATGCATACCTAGATTTACTATTTCACAAACTTTTACCACAAAGTTTTGCACAGTTTATTTAAGATTAAGTTTACTTTATTAACGAAATATTTTGCTTAGATGTACGTATCTTTATCGTAGTCTAACTGTATTTTAAGTAATCGATCGGAATAATAATTCGGCTGTTGTTAATCAAGTGTTTTTATTGTTTAAATTTTCGAAAATTCATAATTGTTATACCTGACGGTTTTTGATAGTTCCTTTCGTCGAATTCGCACCGAGTATTTTGCTGTTGTTTTTGTAATAAACTCTAAAGTTACCTGCTGATAATTTACTTAATAAAATAACAGAACGGTTCGTCTTAGTGGCATAAATTTAAACGGAACATCAATAATTACGCGACTACTTCGTACATCTTGCATACATTTTGTAGAAACGACCATCCCAGTGGTTGGGTATTAATTAGTAAGTCTATGTCAACATTGCGCATAACGCCAGAGAGCACTGACTTGAGTCTAATTTAATCTAAAACGAAATACAGGACCAGCAAATGGAACTTGACCAGCAGGAAAATGCCGTAAATAGGGGAAGAGCAATCCACTTTCATTAAACGAACTACCACACAACTTGTTCATGTGTTGCTACAGTAAATGCTAATGTCAAAGAAAACGGTCACTAGAGTTAGGGGGGTGAAACAGGTTCACCCCCCTAACTCTAGTGATTGATTGATATATTACTGTTGTTTAATAGTTTAGTCCACTTGTGTACACGTGCTCAAATCACGATGTCAAATAATATACTTCGTTCGTGTTGTCTTTTCCTAGCGTACTTTTATGATCTAAATATAATCGCTTTTTAAGGTGTTTCTGGTTAATGAGACAATTTATTATGTAAAATCCGTCTTCAGAGCTTGACTTAGAGATAAATTCGAGAGCGTTATGCATGTAAGAGAACAAAAACTATTAGAGTTAGAAAATAATTCGAGTTGTATAAGTTCAACTATATTTTTTATTTAACATACTAGAAGCATGCATCAACACTTTTAACCCTAGAATACTAAAAAGCTCAATATTCCAATGCCAAGGCAGGACAATTCTTTCTTGACTGAACTTTGTATCGGGACGTTCAGTATCGTGTTTCGGCGTTGGGTTTTGAGCTTTTTAANTTAGTAAAGATAAATAAGTAAACAAATTCAGGAGGAATTATGTGAATGAAATCCCCTTAGGTCTCCCGTTTTTCTTTTTTGATTTTGAATGTGTTTTTGGATATGTTTTTGGTTTTGTCTATCACATGGTTGTAAAGTCTTTGTACTCGGGAAGCAATTTGTTATACTCTTACCTTAATGCAGAAGGAACAAAGAACGAGTACTTTTCCTTTTCTGTCTACACTGATTAAAGAAATCCATATGAATCGATCTTCTTCACGGACTAGAAATTTTTTCATTGTAAGCTAGTAATCTCACAATTCCCGAGGAACATCCTTGGAGTATTTCTGGAAGATTGGTTGGCCGCATGTTGTGCCGTTTTTCTAAATCTTGAATTGCCCTTGGGTTTTGCAAAATGAGTCCAGTCTTGTCATTCGTTTTTTTCAATTTTTTCCAAAACTCCTGAGGGATATAACACTTAAAAAAGTCTTATAAATACCTTAAGGGTTGCTGTAACAGTATCGTTGTATTTAATTCTTTTCGTTAGTAAACAGTT